GGAACAAAGAATCTTCTAGTGCTCTGTTTGGGAATTTACAAGGGTTTTAAGAAACTTGTGTCAGGAATGGGGCCATAGACCAAATAATAAAACAAGAGTTACTCCTACAGTAAAATTTTTTCTTTCTTTCTCTCTCTCTTTTTTTTCATAAACAAATAATTTATTTTTTTACTGTTGTTCAAGTACAGTTGTCTCCATTCCCCCTGACTCCCCATCCATCCCCACCTCCCCCACTTGACCCTACCCCCTTTGGCTTTGTCCATGTGTCCTTTATACATGTTCCCTGATGACCCCTCCTCTTCTTTCCCATGTTATCCTCCTCCCTCCTCCCCTCTGGCTACCGTCACTTTGTTCTTTACTTCAATATCTCTGGTTCTATGTTGCTCGCTTGTTTGTTTTGTTGATTAGATTCCACTAATAAGTAAGATCATATGGTATTTTTCTTTCACCGCCTGGCTTATTTCACTTAGCATAATGCTCTCCAGTTCTTATCACTTAGGAAATTACAAATGTTTAGGAGCTCAGGAATTCAGGGCAGATATTTTTTCTAATTTCTAGTATCTCTTCCAGATAGTTTGTTGTTAGTGTAGAGAAATGCAAAACAAAGAAAAGAAACGCAACACATTTTTGTATGTTGTCTTGAATCCTGCAACTTTACTGAATTCATTTATTAACTCTAACAGGGTTTTGTTTTGTCTTTTTGGCAGTATCTTTAGAGTTTTCAATGTGTAAAGTCATGTCTTCTCCAGAGGTAGTTTCACTTCTTTCTTTCTGGATGACTTTTTCTCTTTTTATTGCCTAATTGCTCTGGCTAGGACTTCTAGTGCTATGTTGAATACAAGTGGCAAAACAGCCTTGTCTTATTGTTGATCTTAGAAGAAAGGTTTTTAACTTTTCACCTTTGAGTGTAATGTCAGCTGTGGGATTGTCATATATGGCCTTTAATTATTTTGATGTACAATCCTTCTATATCTAATTTGTTGAGAATTTTATCATAAAAAGATATTGAATTTTGTCTACTACTTTTTCCTGCATCTATTGAAATAAGATGATTTTTGTCCTTCATTCTGTTAATGTGGTAAATGTATCACATTAATTCATTTTTATATATTAACTATTCTTGCATACCAGAGATAAATCTCACTTAATCATGGTATATGATCCTTTTAATGTGCTCTTGAATCTGGTTCACTAGTATTTTGTTGAGGATTTTTATTCTATGTTCATCTGGAATATTGACCCATAATTTTCTTCTCTTTCAGTGTCACCGAATTTGTTATCACAGTAATGCTGGCCTTACAGAAGGAATTTGGAAGTAATCCTTCCTCTTCAAATTTTTGGAAGACTTTAAGAATAACTGGTATTAATTTTTCCTTAAATGTTTGATAGAATTCACCAGTGCAGCCATCTGGTACCTTTAATTTTCTGGGAGGTTTTGATTACCAATTCAATCTCCTTGCTTGCTTGTTCACTAGTGTATTTTAATTTCTGCATTTTTTTAACTTTCCAGCTTTCCTCCTGTTATTAATTTCTAGGTTCATACCACTGTGGTAGGAAAAGATACTTGGTAAGATTAATCTTCTTAAATTTGTTAAGACTTGTTTTGTGACCTCTCATGTGCTCTATCCTGGAGCATGTTCAGTGTGCTATTGAGAAGAATGTGGATTCTACTGTTGTTGGTTGAAATGCTCTGTGTATATTTGCTGGGTTCATTTGGTCTAAAGCATAGTTTAAGCCCATTATTTCCTATTGATTTATCCATTGTTGAAAGTAGTGTACCCAAGTATCTAATATTATTGCATTGCTGTCTACTTCTGCCTTTAGGTCTGTTACAAATTGTTTAACACAGAAATGTCAAACTCATTTTCACTGGGAGCCACATCAGCCTCATGGTTGCCTTCAAAGGGCCAAAATAATTTTAGGACTGTAAAAATGTAACTCCTCCTTAACTGTTAAGGAGTTGAAATTATATTTGGCCTTTGAAGGCAACCAAGAGGCTGATGTGGCCCACAGTGAAAATGAGTTTGACACCGCTGGTTTAACATATACCTGGTTTAACAGTGCTTCAATACCGGGTATATGAGGTCTGTCCTTCTTATCCTTCTTGGTGTTCTCTGAGCATCCTACATCCGTGGTTTGGTGTCTGACATTAATTTTAGGAAATCGTCAGTCATACTGTTTCAAATGTTGCTTCTTTTCCTTTCATGGTTTATTCTCTTTCTGGAATTCCAACTATGTATATGTCACATATTTTATAGTTTTTCCATAGTTCTTGAATATTTTGGGAGTTTTTTTTCAGTTTCTTTATTTTTGTTTTTCAGTTTCAGAAGTTTCTATTGTCATATCCTCAAACTCAAATATTCCTTCCTCAGCTGAGTTTAGTCTACTATTGAATCTGTCCATCAAAGGCATTCTTCATTGCCACTACAGTGTTTTCAATCTCTAGAACTTCTTTCTTTTTATTCTTTCTGTTTTTGATCTCTAGAACTTATTTTTTTAATTCTTTCCTAGAAATTCCATTTCTCTGCTTACACTACCCACCTGTTCTTGTAGGTTGTTTACTTTTTCCTATAATGCCCTCAGCATACTAATCATAGTTATTTTGAGTTTCTGGTCTGGTAATTCTAACACTACTTATAACTCTGGATCTGATGCCATTCAGTCTCTTTAAACTGTTTTTTTTCTTTTTACTTTTTAGTATGTATGTTATTGTTAAAATGTGAATGTGATGTACTGGGTAATAGGAACTGTGGTAAGTCTTTTTTTTTAAACATATAGTTTTAGAGTTTTCAATCATTTTTTTTTATTTTATTTATTTATTTTTAGGGAGGAAGAGAGAGAAACATCAATATGCGGTTGCTGGGGGCCGTGGCCTGCAACCCAGGCATGTGCCCTGGCTGGGAATCGAACCTGCGACACCTTGGTTCGCAGGCCGTGCTCAATCCACTGAGCTACGCCAGCCAGGGCAATAAGTCTTTAGTAGTATAAGGTGGTGGGATGGGAAGCACTGTATAGTTTTGTGATTGGGTCTCAGCTTTTTGTCTAGCCTTTGCCCCTGGTCTGTGAACTTCTCAGCCAACCAGTGTTTCTCAGTTTCTGCTCCGTGCCCCCAGGTGGGACAGCATGGCTAGAGGGGGCTGTAGTTATGTATTTCCATTCCCCAAATGTGGAAGACTAAAGGGACCTAGAGTTTTTTCCTTCCCCTACTTGGAAGGATAGAACTGGCTAGAGTTGGTTATTTCCCTTTCCCTGGATGAGTTAGGCTTTGGTAAAATACTTTTTCCTGAGGGCAGGCTTTCTTAAGAAAAGCAGAATATTGTGGTGTGTTTCAAAATGGTTCTTTTTCCATCCCTACTAGTGGAAGCATGAGGGGATTTTTCTGATATTCACCATCAGAATCTTGTAGAGCTCCCGCAGAAAAAACTCCAGTAGAGACAAAAGTGTAAAGGTTCCCTGATGACTGGGTCCCCTTAAGCTTTTAACTTTCAGAGTTGTCTACACTAAACTTCCAGTAATTCATCAAGCATGCTTTTGTTTTTTGCACCCCAGTACTGGTTCCCAGGGAGGTTTCTGTTCATGTGTTTCTGCTCCAGTAAGTTGTGATTCTCTGTACCCACCTGTCTGTCTTTCCACATTTGGGTGCAGCAGTACGCCCTGTGTCCTTACTGCTCTGGTGGATCAAAAAAAGAGTTGTCGCTTTTTCAGTTTATCCAGGTTTTTACTTATTGTTAGGACAGAGAGGTAACTTCTGAGTTCCTTATGTGCTGGACTGGAGGTCCCTTTATAACACTGGACCTACAAGTAGCTTCAACATTATTGACCACTCTCACTTTCAGGAACAAACACTCTCTTCTTGGCTTCTATGGCAGCATATTCTATTTGTTTTCCTCCTTTTCTCTGTTTTTTTTTTTTTTTTTTTTTTTACCTGAATATAGAATTTTCCAAGGATCGATCCTGGACCCCCTTCTCTTCTGCACTCTGTAGATACTCTTTTCCAGGTGATTTTATCCATTTCCATTAATTTAAAAATATCTATAGTATTATTCACTCCTATTCTGTTTCCCTGACCAACAGATTTATAGCCAATGGCTTTCAACATTTTCAACTTTGTGTGCTCTCAGACTCCCTGCTTTTCCTGTCATGTTAAATAGGACACCTTTATCCACCAAAGCTGGTTAAGACAGAAACCTAGAAGTCTTTCTTAACACCTCTCACTCCTTCATCCCCTATTTTCAACCCATGAACTCTAGGCAAAATTTTCTTAAATCCATACACATTTCTCCATTCTTCCTATACCCTAGTCAAAGCCATCAAAATCTCACACCAAAAATCTTTGTAACTTCATACAAATAACTCTTTTTGCTGACAGACACTCTTGCCCTCTTTCAGGGGGCTCCCCAATGTCCATAATGTTATGATACAATAACATTATGGTGTAGGGGAAAGAGTATAGGTGGTAGATCCAGAAAGACCTGCCACCAGCTCCTTAAACATATTGATTAACATCTAAACCTCATTTTTCTCAGCAATAAAAAGGTAAAACCAAAACAAACAAAAAAAAAGAAAGAAAAAATCTTACCTGATAGGAATGCCATAAAGATATAATTAATGAAAAGTGCTTGGAATAATGCTGAGCTTCAAATAGCCACCTAGACAGTAGCTCCCGGTACATTAAGTCCAAAGATTTGTAGATTCTTAGCCTAATGTAATAATCCACACACATTCCTTAGCACAAAACACTGTTCTGGCTACACAGCAAATGTCTTAGTTTTGCCTTAGTGATCAACAGACATCAAATTATCCAAAATGAACTTGAAAAAATTATAAATTTTAATTCTCTTCCATTAAACTTACATAGACTATATAGCCATGTAACAACATCATACAATTGCTAAACTCTAAAAATAGCTGAAAAATAACTCCTATAAAAGTGTTGGTTAAAGTATGTCTTATATTAATGAAATATATGGTTTATGTAGTTATTCTGCTTCAATACTTACTTTTTTCTTTGTTTTCTCGGGGGTTAAAGGATAAGTTCTCTCAGCAAGTACTTTGCAAGCTGCATTATCTGTAAATAAAAACACACTTTAGCATTTAAATTAACTTGTCATTAACTATAAGTATAGAAAACTCAAATTTGAAAAAAACTAATTTAATAACCACAATTTTGTAATAGTTTTAGAAGAAAAGCAATATAGGTTGAATAATCTGACAGATATGGTATTCTTTAAAATATTTGTGATATAATTATATTAAAAATTATTTGCTGTTTATCTAAATTCCAATTTAACTAGGCATTCCGTATCTTTATTTGCTAAAACAGGCAACTTTTGAGAAAGTATTTGGAAGCCTTGCTTTTTACAGGACGCCTGTACATATTAGAGGGTGGATTGAAAAGAGATTAAAATTTAGGACTAGCATTGAAGAACTCCCACATATAATGGCTAATAGCAGTACATAAGATTGCAAAGGAGACTGAGCAGGAGGTGCCTGAGAAGAAATTTCTAGTTTATTTGTTGTCTCTATCACTAGACTATTGGCTCCTTGAGGACAGGAATAGAGGTTGTTTCTCGGTTTCCTAACACTTAGTAAAGAGCCTGACACACAACGGGAACACTGGCATGTACAGCAAGTACACCTTCAGTAAATGTTTATTAAATGAACTAATGATGGGTGCCATGATGATAGTTAAGACCCAGTTTCTAACCTGACATATCTTCATTTCTTAAATACAACCAAGCTAAAAAGCACTCGGTTTCCTGGGCTACCAATTTTCTTAATATATACTGCTTTGTGACAAAAATAATAAAATGCAGATTTACGAAAATTAGTTTCACTATTTATTACCTGATTCTGAATTTGAAGTACCCTTTGGTTTTGGAGAAATATTTTCATCTGCTAATGTCATCACTCTATAATAAGAACAAATTTATAGTACTCTCTTAATCTTTCAGTAACTTTTGGGAATCCTCAAATAATACTTAAAATAAGGACATTTATATGCAATGAATTATCCTGTAGAACTCAGGGAGTAGACATCTACACAAGTTGGAAAATCAACATAAAAGAAAGAGCTTGAGACATTTATGCAGAGAGGGAGCCTCGGTTTGTCCCTCCTGTGAGTCCTTAATTCCTGAACATTGTGAACAAGTTCTCAAGGCTCCACACACTAAGAACAATGTGCAAGGTGGTCAAATTTAGAACCAAAACCCCTGGCACAGAGTTAATGTGGTGAGGTGACTCTACCACAAAGGCTGCAAAAAGGCAAGCAGATCAAAGCCTGGATGGAGGACTTCAAGAATACTCGGGGAGTTTAGGGTAGCAACAAAAACAAAGCTGATGGAAAAATCAGCAATGGAGGACCTCAGGCCCTAAATAAGGCTGTGAGTTCACCAATGACTTTATCAGTAGAGTCCAGCCTGGGTACAGAATAAGTCTTGGAACCTGCAGCACAAATTAGTAAACATCCAGAGACAACTTCAATTTCACCCTCCCCCACCTGTGACCTGCCACTATGCCTACTTAGGGTGGCTATTTATCCAAACTGGGACCTTTCTGAGAATAAAAGTGAGCTCTACTAAAAATTATGTCAGAACAAAAGGCACATATTGGGGCTGTTCAAGGCAAATCCAGAGATATGATCACCTACTTACATAGCATCCTCAGGAATATGGAATAGGGAAAAAATCTAAAAGTCTCAGCATTCACCCAAAAGGGACTTTAAAAAAAATTTTATTTTCAATTACAGTTTACACTCAATATTATTTTGTATTGGTTTCAGGTGTACAGAATAGTGGTTAGACAATCACATATTTTATAAAATGTTACCCCTAATATTTCCAGTGCCCACCTGGCACCATATATAGTTATTACAACATTTTTTACTGTATTTCCTATGCTGTACTTTATATCCCCACACAAGACACTTTTCAATGGAAGTAACTGGATGCTATTAATCAAGTTTAATTTGTGATTCCCCAGCTGAATAAAGAAAAAGGGTGATGAGAGCCCATGAGAAGTTTAGATCAGTTATTTAAAAATAAAGATATATTTTCTTTGCACATCTAAGTGATAGGTTTTGTTTTTTAAAGATAGGTCAGCATTTAAGGGAGACAGGAAACAGGATGGCATACATATAATAAAGCATCATATTACATTTGCTCCATTTTGATATAAACAGGCAACAGTCATTGAAGTGAATCTATACAGATTTTATAGCAATATAACCAACACTACTTCTCTCCACTAGGCAGTATGTCAAAGTTGCAAGGTTTTAATTTTGTAAATGTGTTACTTAATTAAAGAAAACACCAAAATATTTAGTAAATAACAGGTGCTCAAATGTGGTATCATTATTATCCAAACCTTACTCCTTCCCTCTTAAGAAAATATTATGCTGTGCTGTGCCCTGGCTGGTATGGCTCAGTGGTTGAATGCCAGCCTGCAAACCAAAGGGTCACTGGTTCGATTCCCAGTCAGGGCACATGCCTGGGTTGCTGGACAGGTCCCCAGTAGAGGGCACTCAAGAGGCAACTACACATTGATGTTTCTCTTACTCTCTTTCTCCCTCCCTTCCCCTCTCTAAAAATAAATAAATAAAATCTTTTAAAACAGAAAAGAAAATATCATACTGCAAATTCTGAAGTCTATCATCACTCTCTGGTGACCTTAATTATTCACCTTTAGAATTTTCACTGGGGTTTACCGAAGAACGATTTACCTAGAAATAACAGTAATAGATTTTCTTTTCTTCAGAAATTTCTAACCATTCTGATACAAACATATTCATAAGGAGGCTATCACCCTAATACTACTTTTTTCTCACTCTACATACTTTCCCAAGAGGACAACTATGCCTTCAGCCCAGAACTTTCCCCTGGCTCTCCAGGCAGAGAATTGCTGAATATCATCAATTCAAAATAGTGTAGCTATTTCAGCATTTTCCAAACTAAAATTGTCTGTCACCCCAACTTACTCTCCCTTTTTTATTTGCATTCCTTCCCCAAGTGAATGAATCATTCATTCAGTTTTCTATGTCAGAGAACTGGGGGCCAACTTGGACACCATCTTCTCCCTTAACCAACCAATCATTAAAAACTACTGATTATCCTTCATGGATTGTTTCCAAATTTTTCCTTTAGGCTACTCTTGCTGCTAAAGTTCAGATCCTAATCATGCCTCACTTGGAATGCTACAGTAGTCATCCTTTCAACTTAATCACTCCTTCTAGTCCATCTTTTCCTTGCTGCAAGAATACTTGCTCGAAGACTGAACCATGATCATGCATATCTCTGAGAACAGTGGGATAACAGGCAAGAATTTTTGTTGGGTAATATAAATGTTTCACAGATATCTGTACTCAGAAGTATATCAGTCCTTACCCCCAAACACTTGTCAGTATGGAATATCTATACAGTATAGATCCCCACCAAAAAAGACAACACTGTACTGTCTACCATTTAATTCTGTGGGGGAAAATCTAGGTAAAAGATAGTAAGGGTTGTACATGATTATTTGAAGGACATGAAATCTATCAAATAGCTACAGACTTTTCCCTTGTGTGTCAAGAATCTTAGAGTCAGAATATGGCTCAAGTCATCTGACTCTTAACTTTTATGGCTTATTTACTTTTGTTCTATTCCTTATCTGTGTCTCCTATTAAAAATTGTATCTTGGGACTTCCGGCAAGATGGAGGCATAGGTGGATGCACTGTACCTCCACACACAACCAAGATTAGAACAACAACAATTTAGAGGCAGAATAACACCCAGAACTGGTAGAGAATTTATCTGAATGGAAGTCAGACAGCCAAGAAGTTGAAGTAGACCCGTTCATCCAGACCGGTAGGAGGGGCGGAGAGGAGCAGCCAGGCGCGGGTCACAGCGCGCGAAGAACAGGGAGAACTGGGCGTATAAGGCAACGCAGAGGGAGTGCATAAGATCACAGCAGGGGGATCCTGAGTATGCAAGCAGCAGCTGGCGGACCCAGTGAGGCGGTGATTGTGGACCAGGGCAGAGCGCGCAACTCAGGATCCCAGAGAAAGGACTGAGGTCCCAGGAGAACGGAGCTACCGCCATTGTTCCCTCCCGCCCCTGCCCCCACCCCCACATACAACATCACAATCTAGTGACTGGGGTGCCCAGCCCCAGTGAATACCTAAGGCTCCACCCCTCACCGTAACAGGAGCGACCAGACCAAAAAAAAAAGAGAGAGAGAGAGAGAGACATGTCTCAAACAGAAGAACAGATCAATACCCCAGGACTCATCCTTTTGAGGGACCAAGAGATAGCCAATCTATCAGATGCATAATTCAAAACACTGGTGATCAGGAAGCTCACAGAATTGGTTGATTTTAGGTGCAAATTACATGAAAAAATGCAGGTTACCATAAAAGAGATGAAGGAAGATGCATGGAGAACCAATAGTGATGGGAAGGAAACTGGGACTCAAGTGAATAGAGTGGACGAGAAGGAAGAAAAAAAACAACCAAACAGGAAACAATGGAGAAATAAGAATTCAAAAAAACGAGGAGAAGCTTAGGAACCTCCAGGACATCTTTAAACATCCCAACATCCGAATTATAGGGGTACCAGAAGGGGAAGAGGAAAAGCAACAGATTGAACACATATTTGAACAAATAATAAAGGAGAACTTCCCCATTCTGGCAAAGGAAATAGACTTCCTGGAAATCCAGGAAGCTCAGAGAGCCCCAAAGAAGTTGGACCCAAGAAGAAACACACCAAGGCACATCATAATTACATTAGCCAAGGTAAAAATGAAGGAGGGAATCCTAGAAGCAGCAAGAGATAAGGGAACAGTAACCGACAAAGGAGTCCCCATCAGACTGTCAGCTGATTTCTCAAAAGAGACCTTACAGGAAAGAAGGGGCTGGAAAGAAGTATTCCAAGTCATGAAAGACAAGGACCTATATCCCAGATTACTCTATCCAGCAAAGCTTTCATTTAGAATGGAAGGGCAGATCAAGTGCTTCTCAGATAAGGTCAAGTTAAAGGAGTTCATCATCACCAGGCCCTTATTTTATGAAATGCTAAAGGGACTTATCTAAGAAAAGATGATAAAGAAAAAACATGTATAGTAAAAGGACAGCAAACTCACAATTATTAACAACCACACCTAAAGCAAAACCAAAAGAAACTAAGCAAACAACTAGAACAGGAACAGAACCACAGAAATGGAGATCACATGGAGGGTTAGCAACAGGGGAGTGGGAGGAGGAAAGAGGGGGAAAAGGTACAGAGAATAAGTAGCATAGATTGTAGGTTGAAAATAGATAGGGGGAGGGTAAGAATAGAATGGGAAATGTAGAAGCTAAAGAACTTATAAGTATGACACATGGACATAACTAAAGGGGGGGATATGGGTGGGAGAGGGTGGAGGGGAGTGAAGGGGGGAAAATGGGACAACTGTAATAGCATAATCAATAAAATATATTAAAAAAATAAAGACATCAATTTAAAAAAAAGTATATCTCCTTGATCCTAACTTTATTTTTTTACAACTTATTGATGTAATTCACATACCACAAAATTCACCCATTTAAAGTGTGTAGTTCACAGAGTTGTGCAACCATCATCACAATTTTCTATTACAGAAGTCACTTCCCATTTCTTTTTGAACCTCCCAGTCTTAGGCAACCACTAATCAGCTTTCTGCATCTGTAGATTTGTCTATTCTACATTCAAATGAGGAACCATTCAATATGTGGCTTAATGTTTAGCACAATATTTGCAGAGTTCATCCATGTTATAGGATGTATCGATATTTCATTTTTTATTGTTGAATAATATTCTATTATGAATATACCACATTTTACTTATCTATTCATCAGTAGATGGACATTTGGATTGTTTCCACTTTTTGGCTATTATGAATAAAGCTACTGTGAACATTCATGTACAAGTTTTGGTGTGGACATATGTTTAATGTCTCTTAGGTATGTATGCACAGCTAGGAGTGGATTGCTGGATCATATGGAGCATTTTGAGGAACCGCCAAACTGTTTTTCAAAGTACTACCTTCACCATTTCAAATTGCCACCAGCAATGTATGAAAGTCCAAACTTCTCCACATCCAAGACAAATTTGTTATTATCTTTTTGGTTATAGCCATCCTAGTGGGTATGAGGTGGTATGACACTTAAGTTGTGCATTTTCCCAATGGATAATGATATTGAGCATCTTTTCATGTGCTTATTGGCCATTTGCATATCTTTTTTTGGAGAAATATACGTTCAGATCCTTTGCCTATTTTTAAATTGGGTTATTTGTCCTTTTGTTGTTGAGTTGTAAGAGTTCTTTATCTATTCTGGATACAAGTTCCTTACCAGATACACAATTTACAAATATTTTCATCCATTCTGTGGATTGTCTTCTCACTTCCTATATAGCATCTACTGACTTTGTTTTTAAACCTGTATGAATTTTTTAATAAGTTCCTTAAAACTTTTAAGATTAAGGTGCTAACAAATTTCATTATATTTTACAGAACTAATGAAAATATTTCAGGGGTTCCCATCACATTCAGGATAAAATAAAGATCCCAGCCCTCAAGGCCATTCATGGTCCAGACTGCGACCACTTCCTTCAAATATCTCACGTACACCTTACCCTTCAGTCTACATGCCCCAAACCAAACTCTTGATCATTCCCCAGTAATATGTTTCTCCTCAGTCTTCCCCATCTTAATAAATGGTGACTCCATCCTCCCCTATACTCAAAGCTGTGGAGTCAGCCTTGACTACTTTCATAATCTACCAACAATCTACCATATTGCTTCTGCTTTCAAATTATATCCAAAATCTCAACTCTCACTACTTCTACTCTTATCACATGGTCCAGAGTCCAATATCTCTTGTGTAGATTATGGAAAAATTCTCCTAACTATAATATCTCCAACTCCTTGCTTCCTCATAGTGGAGTCTCAACATAGCAGCCATGGTGGGGGGTTTTTTTGTTGTTGTTGCTGCTGTTGTTAAAACATAAGTCATATCATGTCATCCTTCTAAACCTTCAAAGGCTTTCCAATGCATTTACACTCACCTACAATGTTTTATATTACCTGGCCTCCTGCTTCTTCTCTCAGTTCATCTCCGACTTCTTGCTCACTCCACTCGAGAGCCTAGGCCTCCTTGCCTCAGAGCCTTGCTCCAACTATTCCTTCTACCCCGAATGCTCTTTTCTCCAGAGAGTCATCCAGTGAGTCTGTCTCCTTCTTTAGGTCTCTGTTCAAATGCTATCTTCTCTTGATGACTTCTCTGACCACACTGTTAAAATAGCAAACCTCCATCCCAAGGCTCCTTAACACATACCCTGCTTTATTTTTCTCTATAGAATTCATTACCATATAGCTCAATATAAATTTACTTGCTTGCCTTTAGTGTCCATATTTTCCAACTAGAATGTGGACACAAGGAAGGCAGAGATTTTGTTTTTAATCAATTTCATTCACTACTATATATTTCTAGCAATTAGAACAGTACTGGCACACAGTGAGTCCTCAAAAACTACTTAATAAATGAATACTTAAATTTGGGTATTTACAATCATACCTTGTATATAACTATTAGAACATGAAGTTTTGAAAAGCATGAGTAAGTGTTAAAGTGTTGGTTATAGTTCTTACATTTTTCTATGGCATTTCTGATAGTCTTCCAAAGAGGTAGCTAGGAAAGAAAAAAATCTATTAGAAATATATTTCAAACACAGACCAGAGGTTCAAATTACTCTTGGGAAAAATAAATATTTCCTCTAAAATTCATAGTGATAGTGCCATTTATTTTTCAATTTTTGTTTTATATTGCTCTCATGTCTGCCACTTAAATTAATAAAAGTATTTTCAAAATACCAAAATAAAACAAAATTGTAAAATTTTATGAGATGCAGGAATCTGTCACCTTGTATTTAAATAGTTCTTTACAACTTTTGAGGTCCTTCTACAGCTATCATCTTACTTGATTCTTACAGCAACTATTTGAGGAAAACATACCATTTTTCTATCTCTGTTTTACATATAAGAAAATAAATAATCGGTCAAGTTGTAAAACTAATAGCTGTATACCTGAAACTTAAACTTGGGTCTCATGGTTCTTAACCCAGGACCAACTACATAGATATGCATATCGGCAGATTCATTAGACAAGAGAATGCCTATCAATCAACACTTTACTGCCTAGATACATAAGGATATTACAAGGAATATAAAGAGCCATGGGTGTGGTCTTCTGAATTATAACCCTCAGCACCTGCAGAACTCTGCTTACGTTAGATTAGAGTATAAAAATCCCAAGTTAGGTAAAAGTGATGTGAACGGTGCTTTCCAATAATTACAAACCATTTCCCTGAAAGGGAAGTTCCCCAAACATAAAGGACTATAGTGGATACGTATCATTTAGCATCTACTCTCTGCTTTTGCTCACAAGAGTTTCCTGCTTTTTTCTTCTGATGGTCCAGACACAGCCTGTTACTCAATTCAGTAAGAGCCCTGCATATCTCCCAGACCAAAGGGACTGTTCAGGGATAGGTATATGAACTAATTTAAGCCAATGAGTAAGGCCCAGGACATCTGTTCAAATTACAGGAAAGAAAAGCACTTACCTCATTGGATGTGAGGCTGTAAGTATGTAAATCTGGAGCTAGAAAGGGTTGTTAAATAAAGGAGCCTGGCTTAGAGCATAAATGATACAGAAGGATCCTGAATTGAGAGAGAGAAAGGAATTGGGTCCTATGGATGTCATTTGAAAACCTGTATCAAGTTGCATCAGCATCTGACTTAGTGCTGGATCTTTTCAGGTACACGTGGTAATAAATTCCCCTTTTCCCTGGCTGGCGTAGCTCAGTGGATTGAGTGCAGGCTGCGAACCAAAGTGTCGCAGGTTCGATTCCCAGTCAGGGCACATGCCTGGGTTGCAGGCCACGGCCCCCAGCAACCACACACTGATGTTTCTCTCTCTCTCTCTATCTCCTTTCCTTCCCTCTCTAAAAATAAATAAATAAAAATCTTAAAAATAAATAAATTCCCCTTTTAACCTAATACAGTTTGTGATAGGGTTTTTTGATTTTGGTGGGGGTTTGTTTTTGTTTTGTCATTTCCAGTGGACAAAGAACTAACTGAAATACTTAGTAAAAAGGCAGACTGTGTCTTTGGGCAGTTTATATCAGCAAAGGTGTTGCCAAACTAAACATAACACAGAAGATAAGACCTTCAAACACTGTTGGAAATACTTCCATCCAGACAGGAAGAAGGAGGAAGTGATACTTTTCTGATAGTATTTTTTGTGTGTGTAGCTATGACTCTTAGAACCATAGGAATGTTTTGCGTGGTTTCACATAGCCCCCTCTCCCTGAATACATAAACAAAACGGAACAGGATGGGGGAACCAAAAACTGAATCCAACATTAAGAACTGAATCTAACTATATTACAAGTGAATAACAACTGGAAGGGAAAGAAAAGAACTAACCTACACAACTTTGGAAATGGTATTTTGATTGGACACTATAATGCTGAAGACAAAAAGAACCATACGTAAATGCTTTATTCTATTTAGCAAATGTGTTTCTCACAGGGGTCTGGTGAAACAATTCTAAAACTTCTTTATATGTACACTAGAATTAAATAAATAAATAAATTAATTAATTAAATTAAATATTGGACTTTAATCCATAAAATAAATATCCATAAGCTCATACTGATAAGAATAATTTAATAAGGGCAGAAAAGAGACAGTTCTTTTACAGTAAAATTTAATTAACTAATGTAGCAGGAAAGAATGAAGTGGAAAGTCACCACTAGACAAGCAGTAGTTGCTGTCAATTTCCTCTGATGTCTGACAATATCAGTGAATGAAAGTTTGAGGAGATACAGGATTTTCAGTATTTCAAACTATCATTTATTAGATATGTGTTAACTACAAAGAGAAACTAACAACTTCACAGTGGTGAAAACCAACAGACAATACCCTTAACCATGTGATGACTGCTTTTCCTGTGATATGAGAAAAAAGAATGTGAAAACTCACCTAAAATTGAAGATAGGTTTGAAAACTGGGGTGCCTTCTCTACTGCTACTGCTTTACTGGTATCCAGAAGAGTGGAATTCTTGCATTGTGTGTATTCTTCCAACCTGGGGCACTCCCAATCTAAGAAAGCAGACAGAAAGGCATAAAATTTTCAACAATAGCAAGCAGCAGGTTACCTTTCCCCCCTTCACCTTAGGTCCCCAGCCCATATCCCACTATGATAATTGAAGTTTTGGGTGAAAAAAAGAAAAAAGACAAGCCTTGACAGCATCAGGATGGCGAACAGTTTTGGCCTATCCCTGTGCTCTAACCCAATTTCTTTCAGACTTTTGCCCCATGAAGATTATTGACCTAAGGGACAGACAGCACACATGGGAGCTGCCTCTCATATTTTATGTATGTTATACCTATGTCTCATTAACTCTCTCATATCACTGAACAACATACTATTACTTGATGTCGCTTTTAAGCTTTCCATTGACTTCCCCCTATGGAAAAATGAAGCTATTCTCTACATCCCTTTGTTCCCACCTTTCCTACCCTTCCCATTGTCCTTATTATTATATCACATATGTAATTAGATCAATATTCAATGTAGATATTATGATGGTAGCTTGCTATAAAAATGCTACTTACTCTTGTGGTATCCCATAACCACCTTTTGCTTTTCCTGGGGTCAATAAAAGCCTCTTTTGTTTGTTTAGTTTTCTCTGTATTTTCATCTATTTAATCTAAAACTCTACCAAACTATATAAATTCGCTCTATTTATTCCATTCTCTGGTGTTCTGAAATTACATAATGCTCCATCTTAAAGTTTTCCATCTATTATGCTAGACATATTGTGGCCCCTTTAACCCAGAAATCATATTCTCTATCTCTAGAAAATGTTCTTGAATTACTTCTTTCATAATTTTCTTCTGTTTATTTCACTATCTTTTTTCTGGAACTCCTACTATTTGATATTGGATATCATATATGTCTTCTCTACCTTACCTTTTGCAAATTGCAATCTTTTTTCTTTCATTTTTCTGAAAAATTTCCCCAGCCTTATCTTCTAATACTTCTACAGTTTTATGCTCTGCTATTGCATTTCATTTGTTCTCTGAATAGTCCCTCTTCTTATAGCATCCTATTCCCATTTAGTGGCTACAATATATATTTTTATCTCAAAGAAACTTTTGAGTTACTTTCCTCTCCTTGTGTTTCTATTTCTACTAGGGGTTTTTTTTCTTATTTTTTAAAACTTTTACTTTATTGTAGTAGGAACACTTAACATGAGATATACCCTCTTAAACCTGTAAGTCTGTAAATTCGTAGAGCATCATTAACTATAGTTACAAAGTTGTACAGCAAATCTCCAGAACCAATCCATCTTGCATAACTGAAACTTCACAGCTGTTGAATAGCAACTCCCCAAACCTCCCTCTCCCTATACCCTGGCAACCAACATTCTATCTGATACTTTCATGAATTTGACTATTTTAGATATCTCATATAAGTGGTATCATACAGTATTTGTCCTTCTGTGACTGGCTTATTTCACTTAACATGTCCTTGAGGCTTTTCCACATTGTCATGTATAACAGGATTTCCTACTTTCTTGACACTAATATTCCATTGCATGTATATACCATATTTTCTTTATCCATTTATCCATCCATAGACATTTATGTTGATTCTTCACTTGGCTATTGTGAATAATGTTCCAATGAACATGGGAATGCAAGTAATGTCTTTGAGATACTGACTGCAATTACTGTAAATAAATATCCAAAAGTGGAATTGCTGGATCATATGGTAGTTTTATTTTCAATTTTTTTAGGAACTTTCATACTGTTTTCCATAGTAGTTACAACATTTTACATTCCCATCAAAAGTGATTATGGGTTCCAATTTCTTCACATCCTTTCCAACACATCTTTTTAAAATAATAACCATTCTAACAGACATGAGGTAATGTCTCACTGTGCTTTTGGTTTGCATTTCCCTGATTAGTAATGTAGAACATCTTTTTTATGTACCTGTTGTCTATTTGTGTCATCTTTGGAAAAATAATCTATCCAAGTCTTTTGCCCATTTTTAAATCATGTTGTGTTTTACCCCTGAGTTGGAGGAGTTTCTTAATATATTTTGAATAGTAATCCTTTGTCATTTGAGGTTTGTAAGTCTTTTCTCCCATTTTGGAGGTTGCCTTTATACTTTGCTTATTGTTTCTTTTGATGCACAAAAGCTTTTCAGTTATATGTAGTTCCAGTTGTCTACTTTTGCTTTTATTGCCTGTGCTTATGGTGTCATATCCAAAAAATCATTGGCAAGGCCAATCAATTCTACACTAGAATCCAACAAAACAGGAAGTTGTCCCCTATATTTCCTTCTAGGAGTCTTATAGATTCTGGTCTTTTGTTTAAGTTTTTAATCCATTTTGAGTTGATTTTTGTGCAATGTAAGGTTCGGGTCCAATTCAGTTTTTTGCATGTGGATATCCAGTGTTCCCAACTTCATTTGTTGAAGAGACAATTCTTTCCTCATTGTGTGTTCTTGGCATCCTTGTTAAAGATATGGTGACATATTACATACACATGGATTTATTTATGGGCTTTCTATCCTGTTCTGTTGGTCTGAGTCTGTCTTTATGCCAGTACCATACTGTTTTAATTACTCAAAAATAAAATTTGCAATATATTTTGAAATCAAGAAATGTTCATTTTCTATCTAGATGATCTACCCCTTATTGAAAGTGGGGGTACTGAATTCTTCTATTCTTGTGTTGCTGTTTCTGCCTTTAGTTATGTCCATGTTTGCTTTATATGTTAGACACTCTATTGTTAGATGCATATTTATTTATAACTGTTACCAGTTCCTGGTGAATTGACCCTTCCATCATTATATAATGTACTTTTTTATCTTTCATGACACTTCTTGACTTAATGTTTATTTTATCTGATATAAGTATAGCTATTTCTGCTCTCTTTTGTTACCATTTGCATGTAATGTCTTTTTCCATCCTTCACTTTCAGCATGTTTGTCCTTAAAAACAAAGTGAGTCAGTCTTTGAAAATCTACCACTGTCTTTTGATTAGGAATTTAACCCACTTACATTTAAAGCAATTACTGACAGGAAAGGACTTACTACCAATTTGTTCAATGTTTTCCGTCTATTTTTGTAGTCCTTTTGCCCCTTACCCCTCTTTTCCTCTCTTCCCATCATCCTTTGTTTTATTGATTTTTAAATTGGTATGCTTTGATGTCTTTCTATTTTTATTAAATTTTGTTTTTATTTTATTTTTCCCCCCCAAGGACACTTTTTTTTTCATTGCTTTTAGTGAGAGAGGGAGAGAGAGAGAAACATCATTGTGAGAAAGAAGCATCAGTTGGTTGCCTCCCATAGGTGCCCTGGCTGGTGACTGGACTCACAACTTTTCAGTTACAGGACAACACTCCAACCAACTGAGCCATACAGGCCAGAGCTCTATTTTTCTTTTGTGTATCTGCTATAGGTATTTCCTTTGTGGTTACCATAGGGCTTAGACACAAAACGTAGTTTTAACAGTTTATTTCAAGTTTAATAAAAACTTTAATCATATACAAAAATATTACATTTTTACTTCACCCCTCACACACAGTTATTAATGTTACAATTCACATCTTTTTATATTGTGTATCCTTTAACATTTTTAGTTATTTTAAATACTGTCTTTGAACTTTTATATTAGAATGAAAAGTGATTTTTATGCCACTGATATGGTATTAAGTATTCTATGTTTACATATTTATCATTAAGTTTTATGCTTTCATATGCTTTTATGTTGCTGTTTAGCATCTTCTGTTTAAACTTGAAGAACTCCCTTTAGCATTCCCATCAAGCATGTCAAGAAATGATTAACCCCTTTAGCATTTGTTTGTCTGGGAAGGTCCTTACCCTTTTTTTTAAAGATTTTATTTATTTATTTTTAGAGAAGGAAGGGAGGGAGATAGAGAGAGAGAAACATCAATGTTCAGTTGCTGGGGGTCATGGCCTGCAACCTAGGCATGTACCCTGACTGGGAATCAAACTTGCGACACTTTGGTTCGCAGCCTGCGCTCAATCCACTGAGCTACACCAGCCAGGACCCCTTCATTTTTTTAAAAGGATAGTTATGCTGTTTATAGTATTCTTGGTTGACGGTTTTTTCTTTCTGTGCTTCGACTACGTTGTGCCATTACCTTCTGGACTACAAGGTTTCTGCTGAGAAATATAGTGAAAGTCTAATGGAGGTTCCCATATACATATCAAGCCACTTTTCTATTGCTGCTTGCAAAATTCTCTTTGAATTTTGACAATATAATGATGTGTCCCAGTGGAGATTTCTTTGGGTCATCTTAGTTGAGATTCTTTGTACTTCCTAGGACTGGATGTACATTTCCTTTCCCAGATTTGGGTTGTTTTTAGCCAGTTTCTACGATAAGCTTCTCTCTCATATTATCATAATCTCTCTTCTCCCTCTGGAATATTTTGATCTGTTTATGTCCCATGTGCCACTTAGGCTTTCTTTACTCTTTGAGTTCACCGATTCTTTCTTCTGCTTGATCTAGTCTGCTGTTGAAACCCTTTATTGGGTTTCTCAGTTCATTTATTATATTCCTTAGCTCTAAGATTTATATTTGGTTCTTTTAAAAGTTTTCTATACATTTATTGAAATTTTCACTACTTTCATGCATTGATCTCCTGAGCTCATTGAACATATTTATGATGATTATTCTAAATTCCCTGTCAGGTAATTTATATATCTCCAGTTAATCATTATCAGTTTCTGGAGCTTTACTTTATGCCTTTCTTTGGGCCATATTTCTTTCTTTTTTTTTCTTTGATTCTTTGTGTTGATATCTGCACATTATAAAAACAGCCACCTCTTGCAGTCTTCATGACTAACTTCAAACAAAAGTTTCTCACCAATTAGCTCATCCAGAAATTGTGGGATCCTCTTAAACCTTCTCCCTAGTCAAAATTAGCATCTGTATTCTTAGTAGTTACCAGGTGTCTAGAGTACAACAGGTCCCATCAGTGCTCTGAGATAGGTGAGACAGAAACCATTTCTTTGGGAAGCCCCCCAACTCTTTTCTTTCCCAGAGAGAAGCCGGAATCTAGTGAATACCTGCATGTTAGAACAAACAGCCATCTTTGCTCTCTGAACCCATCTGGCTTCTAGAGTATGTCAGGTCCCATCAGAACTCTGGAACAGGCAAGACAGTATCCAGTCCTCTGAGTAGTTCCCAGGAAATTTAGAATGTTTAATACATGGTTCAGTCCTTTCCTTCCCTCTCCAGGGAAAAGCTGGGAGCTGGGGATTTCCTGCCAATTATATGGTACCATGCTAGAGGTTGGGTTTATAGTGAGAAGGTATCTTGAATATTCCTCCTGATGTGGCTGATTACGTGCTTTTCTGGAGTTCAGAAGCTTCTCAACTAGTTTCTAGATTTCTCACAAATGGAATTAGTCCATGCATTGCTATTGAATTGGTGTGCCCATGAGGGAAGAGGGTCCAGGGCTTCCTATTCCGATACCTTTCTGATGTTACTCCCATATTTAATTTTGTTTTTATTTCTATGTTTTATGTTAAAGGCTTTCCTCAGAAGTCTGGTGACCCTTGGCTCTCTGCTCATATTTAAGAGGGGGACCTAAAAGGCTAAGTAGAATTTCTTGTGGCTTGTCACATAGTTGGCTTCACTGTAGGGTTTTCCTGCCAGTGTCATCAAAGGACTTCTGAGGTCATTATCATTTGACATTCTCTTTAGGGTTGCTCAGATTTCTCAGGAAAGTATCTTACATTCTCCTGTCCGAAAGGCTCATGTCTGGATGCTAGTATTCTGGGAACTGAGCAGAGAAACAAGCTGTTGGGCTGAGATAGAGATAAGCACTGAGTGAGCAGGTCCTACAATTTATAGCATGTAGTTTCATTTAAATTTTACCTCTTCTGTGTTCAATACAGTATCTGAAGAAGTTGCCTTTTTCTGTATAATAAATAACCCCAAAATCTCAGTGGCATAAAATGAAAGCATTTATTTATTATTCCCATGTCTACTAGTTGGTTCAGGCAGTTCTGCTTCATATTATAGGTTTGCAGATCAACTGGGCAGCACCTCCGTACTCTGAGGTTGCCTGGGCTATTCTGCTCTGTACCTGTCATTCTGGGGTCCCACAAAGAGGCAGAAACTAAGCTGTATATATTCTTCTCACAATGGCAACAGTGTATAAGAGGGTAAGCCCAACCATTTAAGCATATTTCAAAGGTCTGCATATGTTTTATTCATTAATATCCTATTGCCAAATCAAGTCACATCACCAACTCCACAGCCAAAGTGTAAAAGGAGGTTTTGGTGAGGAAAACAAGTACACCTTCTCAAAAAGATCATTATTCATTGGAGGGTTTATGGACAAAAGAACAATTTCTATACTGAAAAAATTTAAGGTTGAAATTATTTCCTCACCTAAATAATCTGATCCTCTGAAGAGTTCAGGTGATGGGAAGGTACTTAAATTCTCTTCAAAACTCTTGCATTCTGTATACGAGTCTGTGATTGAATAGCTCAGAAGAGAACTACAAATATCACGCTGTGAACTTAGTCCTGTAGAATAAACAAACAAAAAAGGTAAAATGTTTCCATAGTAAATAGACGTAAAATCCTAATTTGAATTCAAATTTTTAGAAATGTACATGCAGTTGTATGTTAAGATGTAAAATTACTTCCACATACAACTGAAAAAACATACTATTGGTGAACATTTAAATTTCATCTTAGAAAATAATTGTTTTTGATTTAGGGGAAAATGCATTATAATTCTTTTCCATTGTTTTTCAAAGTTTTATAACTTTATCTTTCCTTACTTTGGTTCAGTTATAATTCTTGACTTAAAAGTCCCAGTGTTATATATAAGTAACCCATTAAATAGCTGGAGAGAAGAAAGGGTAATTCTTAGTTATTCCATTATAAAAAATCAATGAACCTAAACATAAATAGATTGAAGGAAATGAACAGACAGCCCAGAAATAGACTCACACATATATTAGTAACTGATTTTGACCAAGATGCAAAGGCAATTCAGCAGAGAAAGGATATATATATTTTTAAGTATGCTGGAACAACTGGATATTCACATGCAAAAGCAAAACAAAACAGAAAACTCTCATACCTTCAATCACATAAAAAAATTAACTCTAAATGAATCATAGACCCAAATATAAATCCTAAAAATATAAAACTTCCTGAAAAAAAGGAGAAAGTTTTCATGATAGTGGGTTAGATTTCTTTGCTATAACACTCAAGTGAGTCATAAAACAACAGCAATGATAAACTGGACTTCCTCAAATTTAAAGAATTCTCTTCAAAAGAGACTGTTAAGATGAAAAAACAAGCCACAGGTGAAGAGAAAATATTTGCAAGTGTAATTGAATCCAGAATTAAAGAACTCTGAAAACCCAACAATAAGAAAAAAAATCTCAATAAGAAAATGGGTAAAATATTTTAACTCAGAACCTCCCAGGCTCAGAGTCTTACAGTTAGCCTTGTGAGAGTGGACTAAAATAAAGAATTTTCCAATAAATTATTGCAATAGAACTTAGAACTAAAAGTTAAGAACCAGAAAGTTTAGTGAGAAAAGGAAAAACCTGCTATAGTCAGTAAGCATTTATTAAACACTTCCAACGTGACAAAATAGAGATCAACACTAACAGAAACTGGTGGGTCGGGGATTAAGGCAGGAAAGGGGAACGGGTTGGGGGGGGCGGGCAGGGAATGAAGACAACTATACTTGAACAACAATTTTAAAAATGTGAAAAAAAAACCCAAACAGAAAAAAAACCCTATTATCCCATCCCTGCCCTGGAACTAACTTATGCTTGTTTCTGCTCATCTACTAGCTACCTGAGAGAACTAACTCTGTCCTTCCTACTTTGAACTCATCACACTTTTGTTTCGCACTTCAACCGTCCTCTTAAAGCTGACAATTGTTTCCTACCTGGCCACTTCCTCCTGCCATTACTGCAATACTTACATTGAATGACTCAATCTACCATCCTTCTTCACCCACTCAGATGTCAGAAGTACGTTATTCTTCTGAGCATCTTTTGTTTCCCCTACTCCAAGTGTCCTAGAATATCCTGTCCCTGTCCTTGCTACTTTTTATTCTTCTCACTCTGCCTTCATTTTTTCCCCTCACGTGTTGTTACATCTCTCTTGCCTTCTATCTCTCAAAACTCCATGAATATCACTCACAAGAGAGCTATCCCTTCAACCAAATTCCAGAACTCAAGTCAAGTTAGGAAAGCCCTTGCACTCACCGTCTGGGCTGTTGGGTAAAGAAAATAAATAAACCTTCATGACTCTATCCATTGGAGGTTGTTCATGGTGTCACAAATTAGAAATGTGAATGTATTTAAAATTATGTTTATATTAAATCATACTACACAGTTTTAAAAAATCATATAGTTCTACAATGCTTATAACAAAAACTACAATCCCTTGCCTCATATCCCTCCATCATAATTCCCTGCTCTCTAGGGACAACTAGCTTTAACTCTATTAACTGTTTCTTTTACGGATACCTTTATATTTATAAATTAAATGTATTCAACAATTCTATTATTAAGATGGCTCAAATGTATTTACAGCTGAGCCATGTACTATGAGCTATATTCATCACCTTTTTGCTACAAGTTTTTGTTTTTTCTTGGAGTTGATTGCCGTATTTTTGGACTATAAGATGTACCCCCCAAATTTGGGAGGAAAGGGGGAGTGCGTCTTATAATCCAAATGTAGCTTACCTGGCTCGCTGTGGGGGGGCGGGTGGCAGTGGAGCGGGGGTCACAGATTATTAAATATTTTATCACATTTTTTGCTTCAAAATTTTTTCTCCTATTTTCCTCCTCTAAAACCTAAGTGTGTCTTATGATCTGGTGCATTTTATAGTCCTAAAAATATGGTAGCTAATTTTTAAATTAGTTTTCTAAGTACCTATCACTATTTTATCTCAACTTTCTACAAAAGTATAAATTTCCTCTCAATACTTTAAAAAACAACAGGTTATCTATCAGTTCCTTTTTTTTTTTTTAATCCTCATCTGAGAACGTGCTTACTGATTGTAGAGAGAGGGAAAGGTAGGAAGAAAGAGGGAGAGAAACATCTACCAGTTGCCCCTCATATGTGCCCTGATCAGGAACCAAACCCACAACCCAGGCATGTGCCTCGACTGTGAATCAAACCCTCAACTTCACTTTCTGGTTTACAGGATGCCATGCCAACCAAGTGAGCCACACTAACCAGGGCTCTATCGGTTTCTTTTTCTTTCTTTCCTTTCCTCTTCCCTCCCTTTTTCTCCTTTTCCTCTTCTCTTTCCTTTCTTTTTCCCACCTTTTTTCTAAAAAGCATTGCAATTGGAGATCACAATACACTTGCTCAAATTTGGACTGGTTGTTTTCTAGACAAGCTAGCTGCACAGATGTCTCCTTAGGATTTCCCTTTACCATTGTCCTAAGAAATTCTTTCACATGTTTCCTGTATTAGAACCTTTGATTCTTGGTGTTTTGGTGGAGTATCTCCTTCATTTCCTCAGAAAAGGTGCATAAAAGACCTGTCTAAAAATTTCTTTATGCTATCTTTACACTTGAGTGATTGTTTGGCTGGGTACAAATTCTATACTAATATAGCAAAAAGACTGATTCCATTTTTTTGATGTTTGACAGATTAAACCCCTCATCTGGGCAAGCTGATAAGAAAGTCCTGGTGCTCCATCTTTTGACAATGGCAGCAAGGTACAACCATGCACAGGAAAACTGATTCCACACTCATCCTCTAACCAAATAAAAACCCCAGCCCAATCTCCTTTCCCTGCTCTGTCAAGCTATTTTCAATCCTGCTTGGGACGCCCTCTTCTCCAGAGAGCCTCTTTATATGAATAACAAACCCTTCCATTCCCTCTTGGTATGTGGATGGCACCAGCTGTCTGGAAATCTGAACCAAATATTGGGTGGGGATCCATCCAGTCTCTGCAAAAGTAGTTCTCTTTAGAATTTTAAATACATTTCTTCTATCACATTCTAGCTTCTGGAGTTACTCTTGAGAAGTTCAATGCTACTCAGATTCTTGATGGCTTATTTTCAATCAACAAATTTTTCTCCTCTGGAAGACTGAATGATTTCTTTGTTCTGAGGATTTTTAAACTACATAATGTTGTGTCTTGGTGTGGGTCTTTCTTCACTCATTGTGATGGGCAGTGGGTGGTTTTTTCAGCATATTCACTCATGACCATATCTAATTCTAGAAAAATTTCTGTTTTCATGTGTTTAATTACTTCCTGTTTATAATGTCTGGAACCACTATTTTTCAAGACGTTAGAATGCCTGGACTCATCTTCTAATTATTTTTCTTTTTAAAATGGCATCTTTATTGAAATAAATTGATATTCCACAAACCTCAACCTTTTGAAGTGTACAATTTGGTGGTTTCTAGTATACTCAAAGTTGTATCGCCAATGCCACTGTTTGTATCTTTTATTTTTTAATTTTGTTTAACTTTTAGAATATTTCCTTGAATTCCTCATTGAATCTTCAAAGAATATTTTCTTTCTGATTTCATACTTTTAAAGAATGCTTTTTGTTCTCTAAATGTTCCTTTTTATACAAGCCTGCACTTGTTTCATCACCAGGAGGACAATAATAAAGATACGGCTTTTCAAAGTTTTCTCTTCCTTGCATTGTCTGTGTCCCTTGAGTTTCTTTGTATTTGGTATATATTTTTTTATTTTAAATGCTTTCTTTGAGTGTTTCCTTAAACATTAAAGAACATTCGTTCTTGAATGCTCAAGAATGAGGTACTAAAATAGCAGTTGGAAACTGAATTCATGAGTGGAGTTTGGGAATTAGTATTACTGAAGGGTATTTAGACACAGACCAAGTCATTGCTGTCAGAATATACCGGTCTTCTCCTGAGCAAGAAGTTTCCAAAAGAGAAATCCTCCATTCTGAAGTTTCGGTATACTTTTCTGAGTAGGACGAGGGGACCCAGGGATTTACTACCAAATATACAGACTTTACTAATTCCCTTCCCATTTCCCTCTACCCCCAGGGCAGTTTTCAATGCCCTGACCTGGGCAGTATCTAGCATCCCTGAGTCCAGACCCCCTGCTTCAATGTTTCTGGACTGCCAGGGTAGGAAAAAGAGCAGGTGTCTGGCCATACAGTGTTGGAGAATGGATCAAACCATCTAACTGCTACTTTTAAAGATTTTCGAAATACCTCCTTTTTCAACACTATAACCATTCCTTTGGAAATATGTGATGCCTCTCATTACTAAACCTATAGCCTAAGTCAGTTTAATTTTTGGTTTGTTCTTACTCTAGGCACCATTTTCCCCCCAGCATTTTTTTGCCTGTCAGTCAAATTATAATTTGTTTATCTACCTCTTCTAGATTCCAAATTTTTCGATTATGTATTGTCAACTGAGTTCTCTCTTTTTCTGCACCTTATGGTTCCATGCCTTCTTTATGCCTTTATTAATATTTTAGTAAGGTTTCAGCTGGGAAAATTAAATGCACATGTTTACTCTTCCACATTAAATATAAAGTCCTGAATTAATTTTCATCATATTTCCAAGTTATTAGATCCCAAGGTAGAACTAAAACAATTACATGTTAAACAAAATTCTGTGGGCTGCTCAAAACCTAACCATTTACATTTTTGAGAAAAAACATTCCAAGTTGCAAATATAAATTAACAAATATAATCTTAGAAATATAACCAGTTAGTAAATTAGAGATAGTCTATTTTCTACTTCCTTATACCTTTCATGCATCAACTTGATAAATCTGGTAACCAAGGACATTTATCATATATTTACGTTATAACTTTAGAAAATACTGGTTAGGTTAAATGGTTTATTTTCTCTAAATAGAGTACAAAACTCACTCAATAACATTTGAAACTATATTATGTCCCAAACATGGGATAGGAAGATAAAAGGTAGTGCTTATTCTCAATGGCTTCAGAGCCAAGAGGAACAAAAACAATTAGAGTACTGTCCCGAGTCTTATGACAAAGAGTGCCACGGAACTACCAGAATAGAGCAACTCATCTAGGAAGAGAAAAGAGTGGCAAGAAGAGGCTTCCCATAAGAGATGGCACTTGAATTTATTTTTGAAGAACAGAAGAAGTTAACCAGGCAAAGAAGAGAGAGGAAGAAGGAGAGAAAAGCATTTGTTGAGCACCTGCCATGTTCTTTTGCACTACACTCTAGGAAATATTCCTCTACCCTAACTTCTAACTCATTAATTGGATTTTCAGCTGAATTATGTTAATATTAGGCTCATTTACTGAGTCATTAAATTTGATATTTTTAGTTTCCAGGCGCTATAATTTTTTATAGTAGCCTATTACATTATGGGTTCAATGGACTCTTGTCTCTAAAGAGATATTCACTTGAAAGTTTTCTGCTATTTAGTTGGGTGTTAGTCCTTCTGTTTGCCTTTGTTGCCTCTCTTCACAAGTTTAGCTGTTCCTGGTTGTTTGTCCAGATTTCTACTTGAGAATCTCTATATGGAAGTGATTATAAATTCTGTAGCCCACCTCTAGAGATTTTAGAAGAGTGATGAGAAATTCCAAGAATTTACGTTCTAAGTGGGGAAGTCCCCCTGCTTTCTGGGTATTGTAGGTTAAATGGGGGCACTGCCCTAATTGTCTGGCTAGTGTCCACACTGGAAGTCTCTAGTATCAGAATTCCCACTCCAGAAAGCCATACCATATCTTTATCCTAAGATTAATAATCATAATCTACCTTTATTTTTCTTTCCCTGTGCGATCCTTGCAGCAATATGGAATACTTAAGCTTCTCACTCCAGCCCCAACGTTGACCCTTGGGAGCCAACCCCTTACTTAGTTCACTTTGCTTGTGAGTAGTTTCTAGGGTTTTATCCTGGCAGAAGGTACTGGTAGCTGCCAATGTTTTCTATATAAGAAGGGAATGAGGAGAGGAAGCCAGGCCATGTAATGCAGAATGCAGTGCTTGACACTTCCATTAAGGTCTCTTCTGTTGCAGGGTTTTTGTTGTGTTTTTTTTTTTTTGCATTTGTTGATCAAGCATTTCAAGTATCTTTAGAACTATTTTTATTTCTGCAGCAGTTCTTCTCTGCTCTAGATATATTCGTTAATCTGATCTCATCTGCTTTTAAGAATTCTTCAGTATTTCTGGTGTGCTGATGACATCCTTTCTTGTTTTAAAAAATAACTTTAATTACATCCATATGTATGTGGCTCACCAGAAGTCTTCCATATCCAACTATCCATTTGACATTGCTATTCATCTTAACGGCACCCATAACTTAATATATTAAAAATGAAATTTATGATCTTTCCCTGAAACAAGATCTTTTTTCACCATCTTGATATATTCAGTTACTCAAGCCAGAAACAGGCATCATCTTTGATACTTCCATCTCCTTCCTTCTTCAGTTGCCAAATTCTGTCAATTTCACTTCCTAAACTAAACTGGTCAGCAGATATGCCCAACTTTTTCCATTTCCAATGTCATCTCTTAGCACAAAGTGACATTTCTTCTCTAAATGACTGTAATGGCCTCCTAACTGGTCTATTTACATCTTCTTCTTTCCATGCTGTACCTAAAGTGATCATATCAATCCATTTAAAAGACTTCAGTGGCTTTCTGCTGCTCCAAAGATAAACACCAATAGCTTTGACATGGCCTGTAAGGCCTCTGTCTGCCCAGCCTTGCCTTATCATCACATTTCCTTCTCTTTCTCTGTACTGCAGCCATACTGGCCTTCTTTAGGTTCGCTGAACACATAATGTTCAATCCCATGTTAGGGCTTTTGCACATGCTGTTCCCTCTACCTGGAGTGCTCTTTACTCATCTCTCTGCATAGTTGGTTTCTACTCTTCTTTAGATCTCAGTTAAATCGCTATTCCCTCATGGAAGCATTCCCTACTCTCTCCAACCAAAAATGAGTTACACCAAAGTCAATCTCATTTTTGTAGCACTTATCACAAGTGTAATTTACTGGTCTGGTAAGAGCATGAGAGCCAGAGCACAGGCTGAAGGCTTCACCTTCAAGTAGGAAGAAAACACCCCTTTCACTGATACAGGAAGACAGCAGAGACACAAATGGATGCTTATGTTCTTGAAAAAGAAAACTGAGGAAGTTCACATCTGACAGTCTTACCTGATACTAGTTCATCAGATGATGAACTACTGTCAACCTGGAGATCACCAGTCACTGACTCCTATGTGAATAAGAAATAAAGATACTACAAGTTATGAGGTTGAGTGTTTTTATATTATATCATATCACAATGTTTTGGTCATTTTGAAAGTGAAAACTAAGGTCAACTTTGTATGTTTGTTTCATATGTATAGTCTTTCAGCTTATTGATCACAGATATAATCTGATATTTAATATTAAATCTGAAAATCAATATTAAAAAATAATAATGTAGATGTATCTAGGGAGTCAACAAAATACTAGTCAATTAACTATTGTGAGGTAACCCAGCAACCAGAAGATAAATGTGAGTATTTTTCTGACTTCTTAGATAGGAAGGCCTTTTTTTCCTCCAAATATGAAAGCAAAATAGATCAAAAGAAAAGACTGACATGTCTTTTCTTTAGTCTAAAAGATAAAAGATATGTCTAAAATAGCAGAAATAAAATTAAAGGCAAACAAATATGAAAATATTTATTTTATATGTGTAAAAGTATAACTATCTTTAGTATCTAATGAAGTATTTCACACAAAAAGAATCACAAATGGCCAATGAAATGAGAGGTGTTAACTTCACTAGCATTCAAAGAAATGGAAAGTATAAGAATATCCTACTTGTCATCTATCAAATAAATACACACACACACACACACACACACACACTTTCAGGTAAGATGGTGCTGATTTGCCAACATGAATCAAAAACTTTAAACATGACCTATCCTCTGACCAACTACAAAGTATGTGTCTTAGGATAACAATTTGAGGAACACGAAAAAAAGTCTGTAGTAAGATATCCAACTGATACCTATAACAGCAAAATCTTGAAAACAATTTCAATCCTCCACCCCCAGGAAAATAGTTATACAAATTACAGTGTATCTAGTTATAAGACAAAGCAGTAGGCAGACACTAAAAATCATATTTTTGAAGACTAATGTTAGAGAAATATACAGTAAAATAATTTATAAAATGGAAAAAAGGCACAAAAAGAATGGAAATAAATATATAAAAATGAGAAGAAACTGCTTAAGCACTTTTTTTGAGTAGTCTAAATCATCTATAAAGAACACTTAATAGTTATAATCTAGGGTAAAAGCCTCTTTAAAAAATGCTTTCTGTTGAAACTGTCCTCCCCCAAAAAATACGTTATAGAGGAATATGTAAACTAAAACACTGGAAGATAACTATCAACTTTAAAGTTAATGTCAGATGAGTCACAAACAATTTTTAAAATTTGAGTTTCTCCAAAATACTGCTAGCCATCTTTAAAATACTGAAAAAAGTCAATATTAAATACAGTAGATCAAGTAGTTAGATAGTATTCTAATGGAAATGAATCTTCTGTTTCTTGGTAATGGAAAGTCAAAGGGCAAAATGTGAAAATGGCTTTAAAATGTTTAAGGACTACCAAATATAAGGAAGTTAGAAACGTAAGAATCATTAAAAACGTTTTATATCCGTCACACAGAAAATTAGCCAGTGACAGCCCTGGCTGGTGTGGTTCAGTGGTTGAGCGTCAGCCTGTGAACCAAAGGATCGTTAGTTCCATTTCCATTCACAGCACATGCCTGGGTTGCAGGTCAAGTCCCCAGTAGGGGGCATGCAAGAGGTAACCACATTAATGTTTCTGGCTCTCTCTTTCTCCCCCCCTCCCCCTCTCTCTAAAAATAAATAAAATCTTTATTAAGAAAAAAAAGGGACCATTTCTTTAAAAAATTAGCCAGTGACAGACTTTTCTCATATTTTTGTCGAAGGAAAAAAAGAAAACCGTAAATGCAAGGGAAAGAAAAAACGAAAATGCATGGCAATGAATCTACCAGACTCAGAAATTCAAGCAAGGCCCTGTTTGAAGACACAGTATCAACATCCATAAAAGCCTTAGAAAGCTATTTAGTCTCTATCCAACAAATACCACAGTATACTTCCATCTGGAAGGACATCAGATACCACTGGTTCGTGCACCAAGTGCATCCAAGGATCGTAGGAGAAACATACATACGCTCAATGGCGCCATCTTCTCATCCCGGGTCTCTTCTTCACTAGCGCTACTTTCTTGCAGGCTTTTCTCCCCTGCAACTCCTAACTGAGAGCTAACGAACAAACAACACAATTAGTTAGCACTGTCTGGACTTGGTTCTCCACATCTCTATTCACTGCGCACACAGTTCAGAATCTGAAAGGCTCTTTTGGGTACATTAGGAAAAAGGAAGGAGCAGCGTGAGTGACTTGTACCAACACCCACTTGATGCTACGAATGCTTTCCTGGGTGTTTTATCTCACTTGCTTTTAGGTATGTTGGCGAAATTTCTTTTTAAAAAATAATTTATTTTTGAAGTCAAATGTCTGGGTCTACGTTCTGAGAAGAGCGAAATCAGAGTTTCTATTTATTGGTTTTCTTCGCTGACTCTTAGAATGAGAGGCTATTAGCTGTTCTGACACGGGGACTGAAGGTTCGCGGGGGAGGCCAGAGGCACAGGGCTATCGCTCGAGGCTACGCACCTGGGCCGCCCAGAGCCGCTGAGGCCCTGCCCAGTCCGCTCGGCCTTCTCCGCGATCTTCCGCAAACCGTGCGCGGGGCCACTCCCTTTCGGGCCTGAAGGAGGACAGCATGTTTCACCGCAAATACCTTGGAGGCCAGAAATCTGGCTTCAGGGGTCCCGGGGGCACCCGCCCCTCCCCCACCCCGCCTCCTCGCTCTTTCACCGCAGGCAGGCCACCCCGCCGAGCTTACGGTGCGCAGCCAGCCTTCCGCCCAGGCCTGCGCGGGCCTCGGCCGACGCAGAGGAGCCAAGGTCCGGCGTCGGGGTCAGGTTGAGCCTCTGGCCGGCCCTCTTCTTGCGGGTATAGACCCGTAGCGACCACATTACCACCCACTCCCAGGCCTCAGAGGCCACTTGGCCGTCGACTGCCTGACTCGTCCGTCGCCTTCCTGAGGAACTGAGCTACCGTCTGAGGGAGTCAACGTCCAGGGGCAGCCTGACTGAGGAGTAGCCCCAGAGGCGTAGGGAGAGGAACACAAGCCCAGCAGCGCCCACCCCGGCGCTGCGCTGTAGCCGCTGGCCTTGCTCCCGCCTTTCTAGCGGGGCCGCGCTGAGGCCTCTGGGAAGATGGAGGAAGATGGTGGCCGCCGAGCCCTCCGTGAGGCTCAGGGCCCGGGTATTTGATGGTGGCCTGCGTGGCTCTGAGCCCTTCGCTTCATGCTGACAGAAGTTTACAGGAAGACGCCTTTTTCTTCCTGCAGGAGTTTGTGCCCTGTGCTTCCGACGCTTCGGCTGCTCTCCTTACTAAGGCCTTGGTAATGGAGTTTCAGATCTCTGAGCAGGGGGGTAGCCTGACTCAGTGCAGGAAAGTCAGAGAGGAATGAAAGCACTTAAAGCATCTGGGAGTGTCCTCTTGGACTATCAACTTCAGTCAGCTGTGGTCTATGGTACTTGAGAATCTATCCAAGCATTTGAAAACCTTGCATTCCAGAAGTTTCTTTTCAAGGACAAGCAGAATCCCTTAGGCCCTGCCCAGGAGCCTCCTGGACATCTGGCAGCCTCGTGTCAAGGTGGAGAATTCCACAGGGGCACCCCTCCTAGTATCCTGGGGCTCAGCTCTTTTGCTCATAGGACATAGGAGCAACCTCCCTCTCTCTCCATGCACCCACACTGAACCATCTGGCTGCGTCTGATAAGCATATTGCGCACGTAATAACCATCTTTTCTTTTAATGACATTTCACAAGATAAAAAATGGCATTTGTAGAGATGAAATTACAAAGACTCAGACTTCTTTGTGATGCTCCAATATTGTATTTGACTATAAACACATATATGGGCACTGTATTTTTATATTTCAAATTTGCTCATAGAAAGTCATTTATGACTGATTTCACGTATAATTAATCCATTAAAACTTAACCTTGTAAAGAACAGAGGGTGGCCATTCTTACCTGGTTAGATACAGTGTGTCGAGTCACTGAATCAATGCTTACTCAGCACCTTACTCTGTTAGGCAATGTGGTAAGTCCTAGGGACAGAGGTGAATTAGAAATGACCCTTTGGTCAAGGAGGATCTCACAGTTTTGTTGCAGTATAAAGCAATGATCATATTTCAATATCTTCTTTAGTCACATCCGTAATATGGTGACAGTCAATCTCTAGTTTATAAGTGAAGTTTCCAGCCCCTCCTCTGTCTCTTTCTGAAATGACCTTCGGGAGGTCTGGGTCCTGTGATGTCCTAGGCCTAGAAATGGAAGAAACGTCGAAACAGGCAACAGCTTAAAGCAAAGTCTGACCTGCCCTTTGGTGGTCCTATTCCCTAGAACTCTTTCTGACTATATAGAATTATTCACTGAAGTGCCATCAAGTAAAGATTTAAGGGAGTTCAGGGTTTCCAAACTGGAAGTAACCCTTGGTATGATTTCTAGAGCCAAAAAGGTCCTTAGAGATGATCTAGTTGTCTCCTCATTATGCAGGTGAAGAAGCCACAATCCAAGGAGGCTCGTTATGACAGATGGCTGGTACAGGAGGCACAGACCTTCTGGCACTTGGTGAGTGTGCCTGTCATGTGCCCATTCCTCCTAACACATGGCTGGGGAAGGGATGAGGGAGAAGGGTAGGAGCTTGAAGTCCTTGGTAGCAAGGGAAAGGGAAGGAACTATAGATAGACTCGGTCTGTTTAAAACTTTACCTAGGACCCTGGCTGGTGTGGCTCAGTTCTCTGAGTACCACCCTGTGAACTAAAAGGTCACCAGTCTGATTCCCAGTCAGGGCACATGCCTGGGTTGTAGGCCAGGTCCCCAGTGGGGGGCATGTGAGAGGCAAACATACATTGATGTTTCTCTCCTTTTTCTTCCTCCCGTCCTCTCTCTCTAAAAAAATCTTAACAAACAAACTTCACCTAGAGCCAGCATATAAAGGGGAAGGAAATGAGTCCCCTACAAAAGGGTGAGGTAGGACAGAGAGACATCTCAGCTCAGTCATCTCTATGTCCCTTCACTCCATCCCGAAATACACAAACGCCAGTACAAGAATTCAGTCATTTCATTGAACTTCTTTCACTTCCCTGTTGTACTGTTGTCATATCTAGATTCAGAATTCTGCTATCAGTGTTTCATTTCAGTCATGTGACAGGTTTGATTAAGCTTATGACAGCCAGAGATGCTAACTTCCATGAGAAAACAAATTCCAAATTTTGAAGAGATTTCTGAAGAAAGCTTTTTTGAAAAAAAAAAGCCATTTCGTGGGTTTAGGATTCCCTGGAGTCCAGAAAAAATCTTTATGAATACTGTTTGGGGTTTTGTGGGGTTTTTTGCAGTGACCCACTGAGCAGCTTCAATTGTAGTACCATCCACAGGCTTTAGGGTCCAACTGAAAATTGGTTTATTTATGCTTAGCTATCAAGAAGAAAAAAAATCAGTGACAGATGAAAAGCACCTTCAGGCATGGCAGTCTTAATGTTATACAACATATCAAAAAAAAGGCAAGGGGGTTTCCATTCGATAGACTTTTCTTGAGCACCCACTATGGGCGAGAACTGCACTAGGGCTACAGCCTCAAGCAACTCACAGTCTGAACTGGAGTGAGGCAAAGGGATAATCAACCAGTCAATCATGTGGGAAGCTGCTCGGAGAAAATACTTGGGCTGAGTTTTAAGAGATGAATGGTAGGAGTTAGAATTAAAGGAAAGGGCATTCTACAGAAAAGGGACTGTATGTGCCGCATGAAACATGTTGCTTATAGGACACCACAAAAAGTAGTTGGTATGATTGGAGTCAAGGGCCATGGGGGAAGGGCAGGAGAAGAAATGCTGGTCCTGGTGTGCTGAACCAGCGAGTCTGAACTTTATCCTGGAAACTATGGGAAGTCATCGAAGGAATATTAAGCAGGAGAGTGGCATGACCAGATTTTCAATTTAGAAAGGTCGCTGTGACTGAAATGTGGGTGATGAAATTTCAGGAAGCTGGGGTGGAAACAGAAGACTAATTAAGAAAGCACCATAATAGCCCTGGCCAGGTGGCTTGGTTGCAGTGTTGGAGCATTATTCCATACACCAGAAGTTTGCAGGTTTGATTCCCAGTCAATGCGCATACATACCCTGGTTGTGGGTTTAATCCCTGGTGTGTGAATAGGAAGCCACCAATTGATGTTTCTCTCTCTCCCCCTTCTTCTTTCTCTAAAATCAATATATCATCACTTCTCGGCCTTTGAGCTAAGATCAAGTCTAGAATCAATATATCCTCAGGTGAGGATTTAAAAAAACAAAGCACTATAGCCAGAAAAAGGGTGAGAGGGGAGCCAGTTACACTAAAAGCTGTGAGAATAGAAAGGAGTGGAGGCTAGCAAATACAGAGAAGGCAGAATCTGCATAATTTAGACATTGCAGAACGTACCATTTTAAGAAAGTGTACCTGTTGACTTGTATGCAGGTAAAAGACATTATGAAAATACTGTTTTACAGGTCACAATGATGAAAAACTTGAATAGATATTTGTTCTTTTTTCCTCACCAGGGATATATTTATTGATTATAGGGAGAAAGGGAGAGAGAAACCCCAACCAGGGACCAAACCTGAAACCTGGGTATGCGCCCTGACTGGGAATGGAACCAGTGACCTTTTCGTGTATGGGATGATGCTCCAACCAAGTGAGCCACCCAGTCAGGGCTGTTCTTATTTATTTATTTATTTATTTACTTATGGTTCTGAAACCTGGGACTGAACCATATTTGTTCTTTTAAAACTATAAAAATGATTTAAATCCAGGGCACATTTGGATGTGCAAATGTGCAAAGCAAAGGAGAGCCTCTTGGGGGAATGGACCCTTACAGAGGAAGTAGAGCGTGTAGACTAGTGACATGGCTTTATACCATGTTTGCCATAAGCACTATGACTGATGATCACCAAATATACTAACATCACAGGATTATGTGATATAAATAAATAGTAATTATAAGCAACTTTGAGAAACAAAAAAATCTTTATTTTTACAAAAGTTTTCATAAATGCATTTTATATTTGATATGCATGCTATTATAACAAAGCAACTAAAATATAGTTGTTATTTTTATGCATATTTAAAAAGTAATATTTTAATTTCCTTTTAAAAAATGAAAGTTGAATAAGCAAGTCTTCAAAATATATCCATTTTCCCCCCATGCACTTGTTGCAATGACTTAACAAGGAAAATTAAAATAACCAGTCGAATGAATGTTTAAAAGCCACTGTCACCTCATGAAAACCTTTTAGCTTGGGACCAGGTTCAGAAATGTTTGTATTTCAGATATTTATCAGTATCCTCTAGGTGATAACCAAGTTTCTCACTTGGGGCTTTGTCATCACTTGAATGCTAATCCCATTCTCACTGCAGTTAATTGTTGACCCACAGAAAGGACTGTGCAGGATACTTGAGAGTAAATTCAGACTCCAGGGATTATTTTGTTTTTTCCTGTACATGCCTCCTTAAAATAAAAACAGGCAAGAAAATGCAGCTATGGAGCTCAACGTATAGTTTATCAATTTTATGTATGATTATTCATTCTTTTTTCCTGAGATAATTAAGCAAGTTTGTAAGTAGTAGTCTGTTTTCATGCAAAAATACATTTTTCCATTCTTTACATTCATTTCATAGTATTTTGTATTCTAAATAACTAGATCACATTTGTGCTTTATACATTTGGAAAATAAAGAATAATTTACTTTATGCAGAAAAATAAGATTATTGGTTCTTCAGTGGGTAATACAATCAAGTTCAGTGCCAACTTCAAGTAGCTAAAACATCACCTGACTATAAAAATAACATTTTTTTCTCATGCTTACAGTTTTACCTAAATTAGGAATGAAAGATTGACTTGCTCATGTGAGGGAGACATGGTATGTCCATT